GTTCTACATGGTCTCCCTGAAAACAAGACCAAGTTGCGACAACGAGGTCAACCCACTTCTATCAATCGATCGGAGACTGCGACCACACTAGAGGCCACAACATCTTGGTCTGCATATATTTATCTAACATGTTGGACGAGTGTGAGCGAAGTTAGAGTTATCAGTGAACGGACAAGTTGAGTCGCCTTATTTTGGATGGCGGCCCAACCCACTCTCTCTCTTTCAGTCAATTAATCAAGCATGAGTAGTTCTTACTCAACTTTTTACCAACGTTCTTCACATTCAATGTGTTCCCAAGTATATTAGTTTTAATAGCCTCCTTTATCTTCCTTATAATACGAGGCGTGCCATAATCACCAAACCTCGTTTTAGACCAATATATCTCATGTCCAGTCTCTACCATTTTTTTGGTCACTTCTGAATGTTCTACCCAGCTCCCTTAACAAGGTAGTCTTTGTCGAATGGGCCGGCATTTCTCACTGACATAAGGCCGATCAACGTAGCATCAGGATCTCAACAATGGGTCATAATTCTCTCTAAAAGATGACATAACCGAAGAAAGTGTGAGTGTTTCAATAAACACTGTTTTTATCCTCCACTTTTTCACTAGTTTGCCTATCTTTTTTGAAAGAAGACATGACAGCAAAATTAGAACATGAGATAATGTCTCCTTTTGTCTATCATTAAGTAAATAGCCTCCGCCTGAAAATGTATTCCGCAACAATGAGATATTATTAACAATTAGGCCCAATTTAACCTTATTTTCCAGGAATTAATGATCCATCAGTTCCAACTCTTTAGTAGATGGTTGCTATCCATTTCTCATACTTCTAACAATCATTGATTTCAAAATGCCGACCTTATTTTTGTAACCATGGTTGGAAAGAAAATTCAGAAAAGAGCCAACATTTGTTGACTTCCTATAAGCATCACTTCTTAACTTACCCTTTTCTCTAATGATAAGAACCAAAAAGGGCAAGGACCAATCCTCTTCTATTTCCGTTGTGAACCTATTGTTCACAACTAGAACTATCTAAGCTTTCCTTGCCATGAGGCCAAATGGCAAAATAGTCATCTATGTATCTAACCCATAATTTAGGATTCCTCAAGTTTGGCCATGTATATGTTCGTCAAGATGGGAGCTAACCAAGATGCCATCTCAAGTCCTTGTGTCTGCTCATAAAGCAATTGTGTTTTCTCCTGCAATGGGCTATTCCCCAGTCCGATATCCTCATACCACTACTTCACTATCACATCTTTAATAGCTTACTTAGATGTACATAGTGTGCCCTATTAGCGGATTTCATGAGAACTCTCCAAACCCTAAGCTGGCTTACTCACCCTCTGATCCCGCAAGCATCTTCCGATAGGTATTATCAGTCTTTTTCTCGCTCTCTAGAATCGGCCTTTAACATTCCTGGTTCAGGTAGTACACTCGAGCCTTGTCACCCTATCTGTACTACTAGAAGCGTTATTTCCCACACTATCGCAAGCCTTTGAAGGAACGCCTACTCCCGCTTCACTGACTCTAAAAACCAGGATTGTCAACCTGGATGCGACGTGAGGCTAAAGAGCCCGAATAATTCTCATAATTAAGCATTTGCTTAATGGACCACGTCTATGATCAAACACCTCTACTATTATATGAAGAGAAGCTGGGTTTCGAAGAATCTCTTAATACATTGATACTGGCGTACCTTTTATTTCGTTTGAGAAGGCGGGTCTTAGGGATTCAAAGATTGGCCACACCGGATTCCGCAGGATGGTTGCCGTTGGCTCAGATGGATTGGGCGAAGGCCTCGGCTCACCATCTAACGACCCCGATGACTCCATGCTGAGCTGTCCTCCGTCCTGTGACGAACA